GTTTAGAAGCTTTCAAAGCAAAATTGGATGCACAAGTGAATTAAGGATCAAGAGGTGAAACATATTAAAATTGAAAACCTTAGAGTTTAGCAGTATTACCGGTATCATTTCTTGACTTGGGAGGGTACTGGGGAGTAAATCAGGGTTTCAACCTCAAGGTTTCGTACATGCTAAGTTACACTTGCACCCCTCATTTCTGTACTTTAGTGGGACTATGTCAAGGTTAAAAATGATGACCTCCTTAGAGAGTCCATTACCTTTTCTTCAGTTTACTTAGTGAAATTCTTTCCAGTCTGTGACTTATCTTAAACCCTGTCTGGCCTCCCATTTGGAAACTTTATTGATCTTTTTTTTTCACCTTTTTTACCCCCCAGGAATTTTTATCTATTCCCTTCCTATAGTTATATTTTCTTCAGCCCAAAGCATGCACTTCTTTTTCCACTCTTGTCTCTCTCCTTAATACTGCTTTATTCACTGTTTTTTCTCCAATTTCTTACTCTTGAGAAGCATATGGATCCTATATCATTATTCTTAGAGGTCTGACCTGACACTCAACATGCATTTGAATTTCTGCATAAATCCTTAACATTTTCAAATACTGAGAAGCATTTCAATTTTTTTCCAGTAAGAGGTATGGTCAAAATACATACTCTTCCTTCAAGCACACATCCCATTCTCCTAGTCCCTTTCTGAAGCAATTTTAGAATTCACTTTCATGATTGTTTAGTTGCACTATGGTGGCTTCTTGTTGTCTTGATTGATTTAAAATATTTATCCTTCACGGTCATTTTGACTTTTGGGAAGAGCCAGAAATTATACAGTGCTAGATCTAGTGAATAGGGTGGATGAAGATACACTGTATTTTTGTTAGACAGAAATTATTGTACCAGAAATGGTATGTGACACAGCATTGTCATGACAGGGATGAAACCATTTGTGCATTTCTCAGGCCATTTTCTACACCTGTCATTTCTTAAGTGCTCTAATAAGCCTTTAAAATGCTCAGTACTTCATCATAGGGTTCCTGGCTACAGACTCAGCTTGCACAGTTCCATCAAAATCAGAAAACAGTCAGCATCACTTTGATGTTACATCTCAGTTGACATAGGCTTTTGCCTAGGGAGTACTAGGTAATTTCTATTGAGAGCTCTGAAGTTAGGTTTCAAGATCATAACCATAGTCCCAAATTTTATGTCCCCTGATGACATTTCTTAAGCTGGAATCTAAACGAGTACAGTCACACACACAACTGCAGTGAAGTCAAAAAGAACTTAATGTGATTTCTGTCATCTTTGGTTTACAAAATGCTTCACATCTTCTCTCAACTGCAGCTCTCAACTGATTTTATCAAACAAGTTAAAACTTGTCGCACACTAAGGTTCAATGTGCCACTTCTTGTGTTGAAGATCTCCACCTTTCCTTTGGAAAAGCAGCATTTTTTAAACTCACACTCTGTGTACTGTTGCACCAACATATCTGGTTCTGTTTGGCTCACTTCTCATCCTAAAAATATTTTTTTTTCTCACATTTGTATCAAGGGAGAACATATAGCTGGTAAAGCCTTTCACATAAGACATTAGAATATCATTTAAAAATTAATGTTTACATATATTTTAGTCATCCACATTTGAGCTCAGTTCTATTTGTATCATTGAAACTGTTTACATATTTATATAGCATATCTAAATTCTGATTTCTAATTCAGTTTTCATTTTTTAAAAATGAAATTATTAGAAATTTGGGTATGTTTTTACTAACTTACTAATTAATGGAAATGCTTGGTCTTGGAAAAATATATATAATAATATATATATTTCAGAATATAATTAGTTTTAAAGACCTAAAACACTTGTTTGTATTTATTTTGCTTAGGTGCCTCTGTTCTGTCTACAGGTGGCATTCTTTCATTTAAATTTTTAAATTTTACTTTGATAATCTTTTAAAATGTTGACTCCATTTGATTATTTATCAAAAACATCTTTTAAAAGCTTCAAAAATAAAAAGTAATACATATAGAATGTCCTAGCTTATTAAAATTATTTATGCAGTAATTTTATGAAGACCTTAACATTCTAACACTAAACAGTGTTTCCATTTATGTTTAATATGTTAAAAGCACTTTGTGTCATTAGCTCAGCATTTTATAAAATACTTAACATGGATGGTTTTATTTATTAAAATTTCGGCGGGGGCAACACTGAGTCTTGATCCTAGGGCCTTGCCTATGTTAACCAAGCATATTTTATTTTTCATGTGTGGCTATGGAATATATAACAAAGTGTGATTATAGTTTTCTATCTGTAGTCTTTTGCTTATGACACTGTATCTTTACAGTTATTAAACATGTTGCTATATGTGGGAACACTGGTCATTTTTACATTCACATCGTAATGTAAAATTTATTCAGACTAAAAACTCTGATTTGGAGAATTGTGGGGGAGTGAACAAAGGGAAATAGAACCTTGCATAGCTTATATTTAAGAGTATGTGGCTGTGGTATCATTTATGAGTTGAAAGGTAGCTGTATATTTTCATTTTGGTGTCAGTCTTTTGGGAAGGAAGGGGTTTCATAATAGCGTGTGATCTGCACTCAGAATGATTGACATTGAACGATTAAATAGAAGAGAATAAGTACCACTCCTTCCCCTTTTAAGGCTAAACACATATACACTGAATGCAAATCTTTGCAGTGTAGTAGGCAGTCTGGCCTAATGATAGTACGCATCTGAAAAGCTAAGTGGGTGAATTAACGATGCAGATCAGAATGCAAGAGAACCAAAATTACATAGTGTCCTTAAAAATAAGTGTTACAGCTCACATATAATGGTAACGCACCAAGTGTGATGGAAGACCGCATTTGTGAGAGAGGAATTCTGACAATCAGTCCCTTAGTCAGTGAGTGGGCAGAATGGTTCCCTGAATTGGATGACACAGTGCATACCACACTGACTGATGAAACTGATGTGTCAGGAAAGCCAGCTCTATTACTGAAGCCTTTAGCCTATTTTCTCTCTTGTCAAAAATGAGCTCTTACTGGATGTTACGCTCAGGAAGTGAATTTAATTCAGAAGAAGATGTTTTATAGATGGGTAAATTTGATTTAAGAATTCACTTACCCATTGTAGAACTATGTTGGAAAACACTATTATAAATAACATTTTTCAAAGATGCCATTTTTGAGTGTTCAGGCATTAATCAGTAAATTTTATTCATTAGTTTTGTACTATCTCTTAGAACATGTTTAAAACAGTATTGAATCTGCAGTGTAATATTTGTTAACTCATGCTATGGTATGCATTTCTATGAGAAATACATAATTACCACATTTGGTTTCTTTGTTTTTCCCTTTAAATTTTAGAAATATGATCCAATTAGTTAAGATAAATACCAGTTCATCATTACAAAAGATAAAAGCCCATCTTATGAATCTATTCTAAAATCTCTAAGATAACATTGATAACTGAAAAAACAACAGTTATTACCCTAGTTTTTGCCAATTCAGAATGCTCACCTTTTACAATTGACCCCAGGCAATAAAATACTAAGTGTCCTGTATATACTGCTTATTAGGTTAGTAGTAGATTGTCTTTGAAATATGACGCAGTATGAATTACCCAGCTTGATGTTCTCTCACACACATATAATTAATTTTGGTTGTCATTCTGATCTTAAATTAATTTTCAGTTCCCGCATATTTGGCTATTTTTTTTGAACACTGTGACCTATTGAAATTTGTGCTTCATTGCAAGAATTGTGTATCTGGAAAATAAATTTAAAATAGCTTTTAAAACATTTCATTTGGAAATCAATAAGGAAATTCTGTATTCAGTAATCAGGTAAAAAAATTGTAAGTATAAATTTGTTTTAGTTTCTCCACTTTATGGTCTTCTTTTGTTTTCAATATAAAATTTTATAGAAAGGAAATCTGGTTGAATTTGAGGAAATAGAGCCTCCAAATAATTTCCTTGCTCAATTTTTAGAAAGTAAGTCAGATTTTCAAACATCTAGTACAAAACCATATCACCAGTACACATTCAAGAATTAATTATGGGGGCTAGGGATTTAGCTCAGCGGCACAGCGCCTGCCTGGCAAGCACAAGGTTGTGAGTTCTATTCCCGGTACTGGAAAAAAAAAAAAAAAAAAAAAAAAGAATTAATTATGAATGGTTATTTCCATTTAGGAGAATTCCTTCTAAGGGAAAATGAATTTCTATAGAAGAAAAAGACAATGAACTTTTCCAGTTGTTGAACTTTATTAAGTAGTATCAAACTTTATTAACCTGATCTGAGTATTTAGAGCATTTATTTTATAGCATTATTCTGGTTCACACACTTTCAGTATTCTAAAATTACTTGGTAATTTGCCCAAGTGTCATTCTGACTTCCTGACAGGTATCTTTCTTATATATCATATTTCACTGTACTGCTTAATTTTGCACAAAGAAAAAATTCTGCCAGCACATTTGGCTCCTGCACTCAAAATAATTAACACTGAAAAAAGCGGTAAATTTATAAAATGTAATCCGGCCTATAATTTTCCCATAGCTAAGGGAAATGCTATTTCATATCATGGCAAACAGCTGTATTCATTTTAAAGCCAGCTGGTTGGCTTTCTTGAGTCTTGACTGCCCTCTAGTGGACTAAACTGTTCTCTTACAATAACCTGTCAAATTTAAATGAGTCATTTCTGTGGAGAAATAATTGAATATTCCTTCCTGTTTTACTACACTTGCTTTTCACTGGCTCTTGTGTTTATCATGACTAATGTTGCTGGAACATTTTGGTGATTATGATTCTTGAAGTAAGCAGTATGAATAACATCATACTCTTCAGCCACATTAAACTGATCTCATTGACAGTTTGAGTATTCTGGTAAATATTTAAATTATGTGCATATTACCCTTTATTATTTTACAAACATTTAATAACTGTTCAATCACTTAGGTTTTTATGGCACATGCTACTTATTTCTAAGACGTTTTCCCCATTCTTCCTTACAGATGCTACAACTGTGGTGGCCTTGATCATCATGCAAAGGAATGTAGTCTACCTCCTCAGCCAAAGAAGTGCCATTACTGTCAGAGCATCATGCACATGGTGGCAAACTGCCCACACAAAACTGTTGCACAGCTACCCGCCAGTTCTCAGGGAAGACAGGAAGCAGAATCCCAGCCGTGCACTTCAGCCTCCCCCAGAGAAGGGGGAGGAGGACACGGCTGCGCTCCGCCACTGCTTCCTCAGGAGGCTAGGTCAGAGGGCTCGGAACGGCCAGGCAGGTCACCTCAAGAAGTTTCCTCCGCGAAGGCATCTGCGGCTCCAGAAGAGCAAAACAAAAAGGGGCCTTCTGTTCAAAAACGAAAAAAGACATAGTCCTTCTTAACATACTGTTTTCCCTACCTGGTTGGGAAGTCTACCTCATGCAAGTACAGGGAAACAGTATTTCACAGATAGCAGCTGACCTGGAATTTTTAACTACTGTTGAGGAACTGTGGATTTTTTTAAACAGACAAATCACTCTAAGCAAATTACATTTGAGCAAGTTGTCGTGTTTTATGTAATTTAGAGAATGAGGAACTATATACATCAATATATGCTCATGTGCGAGGGAGGGAGCCTGGCTCTGTGTGCGTGTGTGTGCGGATTTTACTAGGAATGTAGACATATGTAAAAAGAGGGTTTGTCTTTATATATCTGTGTATGTGGATAAGCACACACCCTCCCTCACATAATTGAACATCTCTAAGACCCTGAAAATCCATGTGAAGTATTTAAAATGGTTTAGAAAATAATCCCTTGAATTTTTCTTACCATGTCACCTTTTTTATAGTACATTTATATTTCATTTCATAAGAATGAAAACATGACTGTTACCTTTTGTGTGAACCAAAGGAAACTTCAAATCTCAGAGCTGCCAATCATATGGTACTAAAGGTTTTTTAAGACATCCAGTTTCTACCAAGTTTGGGATTGCCTCTTTTTCTTGCTCTCTATGGAGTGGTTTTTTTCTCCCTTTTGAAGGTAATACCTTAAGCCCAAATGCCTCTGCCATAGCTTTTCTGATTCTGGGATACACAGCTCCAGAAAAGACAATGAATGTGAAATTTCTGTGCTGACATTTCAGTGTTTTTAATTCTATGTTTTGATTGTAAATTACATGCCTAATACGAGAAATGAAGGGGAGAGTAATGTATAAACGTAGTAGATTCTTTTCAGTGGTATTTTGATACCAGCTCATTTATAATCTTTTACGTGTTCTGAGATTTTTAAGGGGTTGTGGCAACAGCAGCTTCCCTTAACTAAGTCAGTCTTCTAACCATCACTTAGCGCTGGAAGCCCTCCTTATTTACTACTGAAGACCTTAAAGGAAAACTCCAATTATATGGTCTGTATTTTTTGGTGGCTATTTTTATTCCCCTCTGGAGAGTTCTCCAACTTGTTTCTAAAAAGCAGCATGGAAATGAATAAAATACTGGGGTTGAGAATAAAAATTAAGTGGATGCTCATAATTGCCCAGTATGTTTGACCTGTGAAGATACTAAAAAGTAGTATTTGATGGTGGGCAACTAAAGTGACAGGCCTGGGCAGAGGTACTAAAACCTCTCCCACTATGTAACTAGAAGTATCTTATATAGTAACAGTGATCTGATGAGCGGTACCTTCAGTGCTTGAGCTGAAGTAACCTATACTTCAGGATGAACATCAAATGCTAAGGATAGAGAATCTTCTCAGGTTGATTTTCATTATAGTAACAGACTGGCTAGGGACCAGTCACAGTATTGGCCTCCTTAGGTTTCAGTCATGAAAATAATTAATTTGGATCATCCTTTTTAGATATTATAGGCAAATTTCTGAAAATCTACAAAAGGTACCAATTAATTAGAATGCTTACTATTGGCAATAAATATAGTTTTGTATACGCCTGTTAATGTAAGCTCAGATAATCAGAAAGAAAACAGCTTGACTCAAGTAAAACATACTCTTTTGAACAGTTCTGCTCCCTTTTCTTTTGTCCTCTCATGGATGCTGGTATAGTTGCTGCTGTTTCAGCACGCCACCAGAGCAGCATGCCTCAGGCTGGCCTGTCAGGCCTTCATGACTCAGCTTGGATTTCACAGCACTGTCTATGAGAATCTCCGCAGTGTATCTTGAAATATCAGTATGCTGTGAGGCCTACCTTTGACGATATTGAATGTGATATAGCTGTAGAGAAATATTTCCTTGCCTTATGTGAGGATTTCAAGCTTATTTAAATTATGTAGACAAATCAAAGTGGCATTGCTTAATTTTTAGCAGGTATAACAAGCAGGTTAACAGTAAAAATGCAGAATGTGACAAGTCACTTTGAAAATTCAAACCAAAGTTCCTTTACTTGATAGAAATAGGAGATTATGGACTTGAAAATTTGGCCTTCCCTGTTTACATATAAAAAGTTCAAAGCTGAGACCATGGTAGAAAATGAAAACAGAAGAGACAGAAACCCTTGAGAACTGTGGACCTTAGGGGTACAATTTTAAATCCGTTTCAGCATCTGACTAGACTGAACTAGTAAGAGCACATACCAAACCTATCTTACGGTTAAAAGTTGGGGTTTATTTTTTATATGAGAATGTTGTCACTATTACATAACATACTCAGGACAAAGAACTTTGCTCAGGGAACATTCCGTATAATGTTGTTGTTATTTCTTTACAGACTAGTCTACAGTCCTGCTTACTCAAAACAAGCCAAATAATTTAGACCTTTATGTAAGTACATGTACTTGATGTTAGTACCTACCTCTGAATTTGACATAGATCAAAATCCTGAATATCAGATATCAGTTGTTTTTATTTCATGTGAAAAATCCCCTAAGGCAGAATTCTTGCAGATGTGAATATCCCCGTTACTGTTCATTTACATGGGTGAAATATTCTTCTGTTTACAGCAAAGGACTACCTCATTGTTGATACACAGCACACCTTTATGCTGCTCTAGCCTTACAGATGACTGATAATTCTCTGGTACAGAATCTTTTTATCTGTATTATAAATAGCAACTCATAACTGCATGTTTCCAACAAACACATTTGAATAATGAAGAATCTCATTTTAATTAGCAAAGTCTCCAAGTATTTCCTTAAAGTTCATCATGTATTTAGTTTAAAAAATTATGGGCACTCTTCAGCTTAAGCAAACCAGAACACAAGCAATCTTGGAAATAGCTGCTTTGCCCTGAGCCGGGGGGTCAGGAAAGGGTGGCAGGAGGAGGGGTTGGTGTGTGAGTATACAGTATTCATGCTGGGCAAGTGGTATATAAATATGCCAAACTTTTTCATGTATATGTCTCTGCTGCCCTGAAGCCAAAACATACTGGAGCATTGTAGCCCCAGGCAGGTAACTAGCACCAGCTTGCCAAGGAGTGAACTTGAAGGGCAATGCCGTTCCTAGCTACTGAGGGAAAAGGGTCTGTGAGAAGCACCAGTTTGCAGGAGTTACTAATGGTGGGGCAGTAGGTCTGAGAGTTAAGCTGCCTCTTGAACTCACCCTCACGTCAACACAAATGTGATTCCTAGGAAAGATGCACTGCCAGTGTCTGAGCCCTATGAACTATTCATCTGCTACAAGGCAGATTATAGTGGAAACATTTTTATACTTGCATTTTTAGTCTTTGGATGTATTTTTACAGTTGGAAGATTTAGAGTGGTTTTTACCTGCTTACAACTTGGAAATTTAGCGTGCAATGTAAAGAAAAAGATCAAGAAACATCATATGATTAGCATCAGTCCACCTCCAAAAATAAGATACTTTGATTGCCGGTATTTTTTTGTATTCTGGCTCAGTTTTATTTTGCACCGGTGCAGCCCCAAGTTACTGCTGGTTGTATTTAGTTTGTGAATAAAAGCCCATAAGTGTTAATAAACTTTGTAACATTCACTTTAAGATGAATTATACAGAACATGGGAAATCTCATTAAGTCTTAACGTTAATTTAAATTAATTTATCTGTTTTCCCTAAGAAATGTTTATCATAAAATATATATGCATATTTCCCTTTTGGTTATAAAATTTGGGAAAATATGCAGCCGCACTGACTTTAATTTTCTAGATGTCTTAATGAGGTTTATTTGTTTTAGAAAAGGATAACTTGTTGAAAGCATCAAATTTTGTCTTACATAATTGTCAACAGCCTCTTTAAGATGTGGTTGTGTGATCTGTGTCCTAGTTCTTCTGTTAGAGTGAGAGGTTGACCTATGATTCACTGTTAAATTTTATGTTTGGAACGAAGATGCAAAGTTATGGTAAAGTACTGTACTGTGAGAAAGTATTATGATATTTAATACATCTGTGGCTTAACATTGTGAAACTTCCCAGCTTGATACTGATGGTGTTAACTACCTCTTTAATCCCATCTATCAACCACTGGCACCTACCACCAAGCTGGCTTTAATAGTATGTGTTGCTTCTTTTGGTATTAACACCTCTAACCATACTAGAGACCAAAGTGAACGCTGATTTCTGTGTCTTTACTACAGTGTTTTATCTAGTGTTTTTAAAGTATACTGTATAGTATTTAGATTTAATCTCACTGTCCATTTCGATTCATGTTGTTTACAAGTGAAAATTTTAAAAACCAGTTGAACTATCTGCTTTTAAAGGACAAAAAGGAGTTGGTGTTTAGAATGGCACTTCACTCATGTTCAGTCACCTCAATGGACTAAAGTGCTGTTTGTCTTTCTGCAGATGTGGGTTTTTATATTCGCATTTCATGCCTGTTGTCTTACTCTGTTAATTATGGATATTTTGAAGCTTAAAAAGTACTTGATTAAAAAATAAACATATAACATTGACATTTATGATGGGTTCTGGAGATTTGTCATGATTTATGTGATTGCCAAATTAAATAAATGGATACAAGGTTGCTAAGGCAGTATTTACACAACATAAGCATAAGTTAAATGGCTTTGTCATATTCACAGGTAGGGGTAATTATTAACATTGAACCTACTTCTGACAATACAAATAAGAAGGAAATAAATACATAAATAGGAAATTCCTAATTTTAGGAATTGTGCTATACTATCCAGGCAAAAGTATGCAAAATTGTGAATCAAGACATACTTTTTAGGTCTGAAAGAGTGGCCTGAAGTACAATTTCCAAGCCTTTTGGCAAGATCATTTTAGACTTTTCTTCCAGATTTTTTTTTCTAATAACTGTAAAGAATTTGAAAAGGACAATCAAAGTCAGAGTAATCTAAAATGTGAATGTAGATTGCTCAAACTCTTGAGTGCAGTAGTGATGTATTGTAAAAGCAGTTTGGTGAAACTGTTGATAAACAGTATTGTAAAAACAATTTGGTGAAACTGTTACTAAAACTGTTGATTTCTACAGGTTGGCCAAACCCATAATTAAAACTCATTTCCTACTCTATACTTGGATGATTCACTTAATTCTTTTAATGGTCTACTGTGACTCCTACTTTTGCCTTTTTTCTTTTATTTTTAATTGTGATAAAAACAACATAAAATTCACTTCTTTAGCCATTTGAGTGTACTCGTCAGTAATGGTAAGTACATTTACTTTTTTGTGCAACAGAGAATGATTCACTTAGATGTGGAGAGTTTTTTGTTATGAAAAGCTTTGTGTTAAAAAACAAAAGTAGCATCGTACTGACTTTACAGGATGTGGAAAACCTTTTTAAACAGCCATAATCCATCACTTGAAAATAAGCAACCAGTAACACTTTTCTTTCATTTTAAAATATGGAAAGCCCTTTTAAATATAAAGTGAAAAAAAACTTTCTATCACCTAGAAATAATTTCCTTTTGGTCAAATAAATAGATGTAATACATACATACACATGTACATGCACATAAATACGGCAGTTATTTTTTAAATTGGGTTGCATTACAAATGGTTTGGAGCTTTATATTTTTCTTACCTATCATACAGTATTTTCTCATCAGAAATTGTTCAGAGACAGCACTCTTGATAAATGCACATTTGCTTTGAAGAAGTAAGGCTCGGAGTGAGCACAGAGGACTGCCTGGCTGGAATGACGGAAGGGAATACCAAGAAAGGAACGGCACCAGCACAGACCAGAGCCAAGGATGAGCAGTGCACGTGCGTGCATGCAGTGAGGACACCTCCAGTGGACAGAGGATAAACACCAGCCGTTGGGGTACATTGGAAGG